AATCATATTAAATGTAATAGGCTTAAAAGTACCAGTAAAGAAAAAAAAATAGCAGGTTGGACTAAAAACAAAACGAATCCATCAATACAGTGTATAAAAGAGAATAAATATGCTGTATAAAAGAGACACACTTGAGAAGCTAAAATAAAGACAAAGTATCAAAAGATGGGGGAAATATGTCAAGCAAATGGCAAAAACAAAAGAAAAATGAAAATAGAAATAATAATCTCTGATAAAATATACTTCAATGTAAAGATCAGCCTAAAAGACTAGAAGGGATACTATATAATGTTTAGAGGATCAATAGAACAGGAGAACATAAACATAATAAATATCTATGCACCAAATGATACAGCTACAAAATACACAATACTAACATTAACATACTGAAAAGGGAAATAGTAGTAGTAGTAATAGTAGTAGTAGTTGTTGCTGTTATTATGTGCTATTGAGTCACCTGCAACTCATAGCAAACATAGGTACCACAGCTCTGAAGCCTGCCCTGTCCTGAGGCAGTTTCACTGACTCTGACATGCCTACCCCATTGCCCGACTTATGTATCATTGTCTCATCTGGGATCTTCTTGTCCTGCACTGTCACTCCACCTTCTAAGCATGATGTTCTTCTCCAAGGACTGATCCCTCAAGGCCCTGTGCCCAAAAGATACAAGACAGAGCTTTAAAATCCTAGCCTCCATAAGAAACTTGGTTTAACCCTCTTCAAAACAGATCTATTTGTTTCCTTGGCAGTCCCTGATATGTTCGAGACTTTTCCCAACACCATTACTCAAAGGCAGCTCTCTGATACATAACAAGTAATCGTGAAGACAATGGCTTGGATCAAGTTCAACTTAATCTCTAGGTTGACATCGTTGCTTATCAGTATCCTAAAGGAGTCCCTGACTGCAGATTTTCACAGTTCAAACTAAGTATTTCTGTCATCACAGGAGACTAGAGCGAGGGCTACATGGTGGAGGGGACCTGGGGGAGGGTTTGTAAAACAATGAAAGAATCTTTTCTTTTACTTTTCCATAATTTTTGGACTCATGTACTTATAACTTGTTAGTCAAATTTGTGTCTTCTAGGTTGCAACACCCCCATGATACATCTTCAAGGATATGAACATGTACGGCCAAGCACAATCAATAAGAGTGCATCTAAATTCCAAAATCAATCTCCATAATAGTCTATGTGTTTCCTACTGCCAAAGGGGCCCTTTAGAGTAGTGAGAGAAGATCTTCACCCTGAAACCCACAGCGTCCCTTTTCAGCAGGAAGTAGCTAAGAGAATACGCCATCCCCTTTTCCTTATGAATCAGGGTGAAGTCTCTCTCAGGGAGGAGTGATAGGGAATGGCAAAGGACACACTGACAAAGAAGATTAATCAGAACTGGCTTTGACAAGCACTGTGGCATTTGGACAAGAACAAACTGGGAGGAGGGTAGAGAGAATAGTGCAACAATGAATGAATGGAAACCCAAAATCTCTGTAAATGTTTATGAAAATTAATAAAATATAGGGGAAAAAAAAACAACAAAATGAGAATGTGTCCTGTCTCCTTACCTTTTCAATCTATATGTGGAACAGATCATCCGGGAGGCTGGCTCTATGAGAAGAAGTGTGGCATCAAGACTTGAGAAAGACTCATCAACAGCTTGTATTAATGCAGATGACACAACCTTGCTTGCTGAAACTGAGGCAGACCTGAAGGCCTTGCTGTAAAAGGTCAAAGATTATAGTCTTCAATATGGACTGAAGGTCAACATCAAGAAGACAAAGATCCTCACCACTGGGTCAATTGGCAACACTATGATAGATGGAGAAGAGACAGAGGTTGTTAACAATTACAGCTTTCTCAGCTCCACAATCAACAATTATAAGCAGTCAGAAAATCAAAAGACAATAGATCAGTCTCAATGAAAGATAGGATGACTAGAAAAAAATTCAATAAAGATACAGAAGATATGAATTACACAAATTAACTCAAAAAACTTATGCAGGGTAATGCACCATTAAAAAGTCCAATATACATTCTTCTCCAGAATACATGGAACATTATCCAAAATATGTCATATTTTAGGTCACAAAGCAAGGTTCAATAAAACAAAAAACACTGAAATATCACAAAGCATTATCTCACACCACAATGCAATAAGATTAGAATTCAACAAGAGGAAAAAGAAGAAAATATTATGCACCTGGACACTAAGTAACACCCTGTTTGAATACTTTTTGGGTAGTAGAAGAAATAAATAATGAATTCTTGAAAAAATGAGAATGAAAACACAAATTACAAAAAGTTCTGGGATATAGCAAAAGCAGTCCATACAGATCAATTCACAGGTATAAGCAACCTCGTCAGCAGGGAAGAAAGAATGAAAACTGACTCTTTCACTCAAAACCTCCAACCAATATAAAAGAGCAGCACTCATATCCCACAATCTCTAAAAGAAATTAAATTATTAAAATAAGAGAAAAAATAAATGATTCTAATAAAAACAAGAAAAATAATTACAGGAGTAGGAATTGGTTCTTCCGAAGGATCAATAATATTGATAGACCACTGGCAAATCTAACAAAGAAAAAGACTCAAGAAAGACACAAAAAAGAAATTTAATGGCCAACATTACAATGGACCCAACTGAAATAAGAAATGTAATAACAGATTATGAAAAGCTATACTCTGACAAGTAAAAACCTAGAGAAAATGGAAAGATTCTTAGAAACCAACAACCTACTCAAACTGACACAAACTTAAGCAGAGCATTTGAACAGAGCTATCTCAATAGAATAAATTGAGCACTTCACCGAAGACGACATTCAGATGGCTAACAAGCACATGAAGAAATGCTCAAAATCCCTAGGCCTAAGAGAGATGCAAATTAAAACAACTATGAGATATCAT